GAATATTGATTTATGAAACTAATGGCTAACCTCTCTTTTGATTGTGATCTTAGCAGCTTAAGCTTATAATTAATAAATCAATTGGCTAAATAATTTTCAAAACCTTGTTTTACAATGTCTTTTTGATTTAACAAAAAGGGGGAGAAGAATAAGTGTTAAATGTTTACATAATAAATTGAAGTGGTGTTAAAGTAAGGGGGAGTAATTTCAAACTTGATTTCAAAATCTTAAAATTACTAAAATGTTTTGTTATATCAAAAAGGGGGAGATTGTTGAAACATTTTAATATTTCGATATAACAAATTAAGTTAAATGGATTTTAAGATTTTCAAATTAAGTTAAATGGATTTTAAGATTTTCCAAATGATTTTCTAAGTATATTCGATATAACTATTCGAATATCAAAACATTACTCCAAATATTTCAAAAATCATTTTTGATCCTTACTTAAGTGTAAAATTAAGTTTTAATCATAAACAATTTCAAAATAATTTTACAAAGTATTTCGAACCAATTCAAAGCCAAAAATTCCAGATTACTCAGAGGGAACCGATTCCCCCCCATAGGAGGAACCGATTCCCCCCTGAATGGTTTGGCTCCGAGATTTCCAGAATGCTCGGAGGGAACCGATTCCCCCCAAGGGGGTACCGATTCCCCCCTGTTCAACGGTCGAAATATTTGAATTTTACACTTAGGAAACCGATTCCCTATGAGAGGGAACCGATTCCCCCCACGCTCCAAGCTGTTTTATTAAATGTTTTCACACTAAAACGGCTATAATATCTTCTCTAATTATCCCCAACGTTCAGAAGTGATCCAAGGTGTATTTAAGCAAGCTTAGAAGCCATTGATCAACAACAAGAAACATCAAGCAACTAGAATCAAGAGAGAATCAAAGAGAAAGCATCAAACCTCAAGTTTGAGCATTTCAAGCCCATTTTCATTTAATATTCATTTTGCTTTCAAGAACACTTTTTGTACTCAGTTGTATTCATCTTTGAGTGTTCTTTTCTTTGTTCTAGAATTGTGCAAACATCTTACCTTGTGAGGTTTTCTTGTAAGTTTGCAAATTTGTAATCTTCTCTTTGAGAAAAGAGTGTTCTCAAGAGTTGGGGTATACTCTTGAGGGAATTGTAAGGTTATCTCTTTGGCCTCAAAAGAAAGAACAAATTAGTGAATTTGTTGGAAAATCCTTAGTGTGGATAGCTAAGGTAGTGGACGTAGACTTTGTTTGAGAAAGTCGAACCACTATAAATCGATGTGCAATTACTTTCAATTTTCTGCAAAAGCTTCCACAAAATTTTTATTGCCAATTCACCCCCCTCTTGGCCAATTTCGTCATTCGATTAACTCAACAAATTGAGTAAAAAAGAAAAAGAAAGAAGATAATATTTAATTTTGTTCTATTGTAATATGTAATTGAGTCAATCTTAAATCTTACATGTACAAAAAAGAAAGAGAAGAAAATTACATGTAAATTTTGTCCTAGTTAATTACAAGGAGCACAAAGGGATGATAACTATGAATAAAAATGACAAAATCCTTATTTCCGTATTCTATCTCACCTAATTTGGCAAGCATAATAATGATAATGACATGTAAAGATGGACCGAGGAGGACAAGTGAGGCAGTTGTTCATTGAAAAATTTATTTTATCATATATTTTAGATTTTTTTCTATATATTATTTATTGAATTTTTTTATCCCCTGAAATTTTATAAGCTCGTCCATCTCTAAAATTTTAGAAATTCATCCTGTCTTAACATAAAATCTTGTGTCTGTATTGTACATGATGACATGCATTTATGAATGTTGAATCAATTACCATTGGTAGAACTTCATATATGATTGATTACAAATATGTCAACTTCAAATAGAGACACACATCAACAAAAAGAAAATGAAATAAAGATCTCTAAATGTAACATCCTCGAATTTCCAAACCTTAATTTTGTATATATACTATTAAAATATTTGAAATAGTTCTTTCATTAATCCTAAATGTTCAAGATTTATATTTCATTAATTTCGGTCCAATAAATTTATAGATTGTGTCTCTTAAATATCTAATAGATAAAAAAAATGAGTGAATTAGAAAAAAGGGGACTAGACTGAAAAGAGCATGAAAACGAAAGCTTTACATGTCTATTAGAAGTAAAGTTTGTGATAGTGAGTTTTGGTGGAAAAGTATGTATATATATATATTATATATATATATATATATATATATATATATATATATATATATATATATATATATATATATATATTATGAGAGCACTATTGCCCTTGGAAAAAATTAGTTATGGCAATTTCTCTCAAAGTAATCATCTCTTTTCGACGATTTTGATCTTTTTATTTTTCATTTTGGGCTAGAATGAAAAAAATGGAAAATTGGGATCAAATGAGAGTATCCAAAATTGATAGAGAATATGAGTATCTAAAATTTCCTTTATCTAACGTACTGACATGGGTCTAAATCAAAGTTCAAGACATGTCTTTGACATCTTAAAATCAACAACTTTGGCAATGAGATTCATTCCCACATTGTTTCGATATTTATTTTTCTCAAGTTTTTAAATATAGAATTTTAATCATACACTCATTGAGTGATTAAAGAAATGCTTATACATGGCATTGTCATTCAATTTGTACTTGTGAAAATATGTATCTTCACACGTATCACACATGTTTCTTCTTTTTGAATAAAATTCGCAATACTTCTTACATTTTGGCCCTATTTTCATTTTTTCATTTTAATCGTGAAATTTTCATTTCTTTCATTTGGCCCTTAGTCCAAAAAAATAGTGAAAATAGTAATCCTTTCGTGATGATTTTCCCTTAGAATTAAAAAAAAAAGTTCTATTGCAAAGCTGTCAAGAAGAGAGGACGACTTTTTTATAAATCACCTACCTTACACGACGACTTCAGTGAGTAGTGTAGAAAGAACCTCAAATCCTCAAGTAAAAAATTGAGTACCCAAAATCCAACTTTTTTTTAACAACGATATTACTCTCATTTAGCCTATATATATTAAACTACTTGAAATATGATATGACTAATAGATATATGTATATCTCATATATTGTAACACTTATCGAGTACAATGTCTATCTTGTTCAAATGTGATTTGGGTGAGAGTTTATTGAGTGCTAACACATCTATCTTTGTGAGGTTTTTTTTTATTTGCTAAATTTTATATTTTCAGGTTGCCCCACTCACCTCCTCTTAGTCCATCCCTGTTTTAGTGCATGTTAATATGTAGCAGAGATTTGCAAAACTCTTACGTTAAACATTATTTTACTGTGTTTAGATTGTGGATTCTTTAAGCTTATGTGTCAGAAACCTTACCATCAGTCGTCATTACATGCATGAGCTTCGAACTCTAATTTATAAATTTGATGAATGATTATTGGGGTATTGTATGTTTCAATATGTCTAAGTGTGTTTTTGAAACTCAAGAAATTGTATAGTCATCAAAGAGAAAAAGGAAAGGAACAACTGACACAAGAAAAATAGAAATTGAAGTGTTTAAGTTTGGATTAGGGGAGTGTAGTTACTACGTGATAAGAACATAAGAGGGGTAAAATAATTTATTTTGGACAAGAAATTGAAGTTGGTTTTTAAACCTAGAACATCAATTGGCTTGCAAAGACTTTTTGGATGGGGTAGGACATTTTATAGGCTAAAATGTCTTTTTACGCATCGATTATTTGTCAAATACCTTTCTAATATATCTTGAAATACCTCAAACAAGCGTAATCTTGAATTTTTTTACGTTTGTTTTAGCGGAACGGTGAGTGCAAATAACTTGATTCGTGTCCAACAAGAAAAATTAAATTGTTATGAAATTTCAACTATTCTATTCATATTTGTAATTAAATTAACATAATTTTTTATTATTTATTTTAATTAATTTATAATCAACTTTATTATTTTAACATTTATTTTCTTAATCAAAATTATATTTTCTGTGTTCAAATAAAATTGCTTTGTCTTCAAATAAAAATGTTCATTTTTTTTCCAAACATATCCAGCATTAATGTAAAATGATTTTTGAAGCCTATAGATAGACGATCTTCTTATGTAATATGAACGATCTTATAATCAATAAACAAATTTCTTTGAGTTTTTTTCCCCCAGTACTTTTCATCATGTACTTATTTGGAGTGAGGAGATCTAATTACGTTGTGAAATATTGAAGTGTTCTTACCCACTGTCTAGGTTGCCGAAGCGAAACATCCTTGGAGGATTAAGTGTCCATCTTTCCTAGATCATAGCCCTCATCTAAGTTTATAAGGCGAGATGAAGGTTAAATGTTTCCTTCAACCTTATACATGTTCTTATCATATCTAGTTTCTTTTGTTCTTTTTTCTCTTCTAATTTTGTTCTTCAGTTTCTTTTGAAATAAGATCTTAACTATAAATCATTACCTTGCTATTTATCCTTTTAACGTATCTTAAAACATCTCAATCATCATTTGAAATTCAAGATATATCAAGAGATAATAAATATAAAAAAATTAAAATAACTCTAAAATTAAAAAATAACTTTTTAATCAAATCAAATTTTACCCACACCTAGTTTTAATAATTAATTTCATCAACATTGTGCACAGTGCACAAGAAGTATGTCAATATATAATTTAACGTTATACCTTAAATCTGAGCTAAACTATTTTAAACTCAATTTCTTAAATTTTAGTTTGTTATTTTAATTTTAAAAACAGTTGAAAGATGTCCATATTTATCGTCATTTCTCTTCAAAACCCTGAACCCTAAAATGATATGTTTATCATCACACCATAACAGCCTGCAAAAGGAAGATTAGTTCTGTGTTCGTCTCTTTCACTATATTTCATGTCAATCATCCATGGATGAGCCGGGAAACCTGCATTCATCCCTTCCTGCAAACCTATTTAGTTCCAGACGAGCCAATTTACTACCAACACAGAAATTCATGTAGTTATCCATATACAAAATCATGACGACTAGAAGCTCGAAAGGAGCCTAGCTAATATCGTTCGACAAAAGAAAAGAAACTTTTTCATGCATTACTTTCAGTTCATTCTAAAGACAAGTTATATTAGACTTGACTACAAGAAACCTGGGAAAATTAAGGAAGACTCATTAACCTCTCCTATATCACAACTCCTGATCTCTCTCTGTTCTGGTCTGCAACACCTGGTCTCGCAAAGTTGGTTTAAGTTACAATCAACCATGTCACCGAACTGCAAAGACCAAACATGTTGGTGAACTATTATATTTAAGAAAGTAATCATAAATGGAGGTTTGGAAAATCACCATGAATGGCCTGGGACTTCATTATTGTTTGCCAATATAATATGGGTACCCACTCATTCCCACGGGGGCATTTGGTGGGATTCCTTGTGGATCTTTCTTTGCAGCAACAGGTGCATAAGGATTTGGCGGTTGGCTTGGGTATGGTACAGGTGGCACAGTAGGACTAGAATATGAAGAAGTTTGATATGATGCCACAGGTTGAGGGTAAGCGTAGCCAGCAGGGGTAGCACTGGGGTGTGCTTTCCCGAGCTGTGGGTAGCCAGGTGCCATAGGCATCGCGAGAGGAATTACAGCTGCAGTGGGTAGCTGTGTTTGTACAGGTTTTCCCTTGTTGGTATCAGCAAGCTTCACAATGATAGTTCTCCCCTGCAAAGAAACCCAAATTATCAAGCAATCTCTATAGATCTTCATGATAACATTAGTTATATAGAAGTGATTTCATTATATATACCTAATCAAAGGAATTATAATAATCTAGGTAGACTCACTTCCCACTTATGTTACTTGGACCCGGGTGTGAGTGTTGGATACAGGTATGTGACTGTCACAAATATGTTCAATTTGTTCAAAGTTTTTTCATATATTTAGAGGGCCCTTGGAGGATCATATCTCCATACCCATGTCCGATTTGTGTTGAACAAGTGTCAAACATGGGAACTTCCAAGAAAAATGAAGTCGGAGGAACATAGTTCCCTACCATATCAACTCCCATGTGCAAACTTATTGAGGCACCCTCTTTACATTCGATCACTTCAATTATAGTGCTAACTGGATTTACATTACATGCAACAGCTGATGTGATAAACAGAAACTTTGGCTAATATGCCATTTTCAAATCATCAAATTTTGTCAACAGAAGAAAGAAAAGACAAAAAAAGATTTTGCAAGTCAAGGCCACCACATATAGTGGTATTGTCTACATACCCCAAGAATCTTTTGTGGACTATCAATTGCCTTCTTTGCAGCCTCCACTGTCTTGTATGTAACAAAACCAAACCCACTGCATATGAAAGGAAAAGATAACGATTTGTCACTTGTACGAAGTATGCCCAAGTATAAATGAAATAACATAACAAAGGAACATCCAAAAAGATGAAGTATGCACCGTGATTCATTTGTATCTTTGTCATATGCAACTGAGCCTTCCTCAATCTCACCATGTCTTCCAAAATAATTCAGAAGCATCTCACTTGTGACATCTGGTGATAGGCCCCCAATATAGAGCTTCCTTTGTGCAAGATCCGGTGTGGAACTCGATCCACTTAACCCCTCACAAGCTAAATTACATACAGCCATCCGGCCCTGAATACGAACCAATAAAGAAATAAAGTCAATGACAGAAAAATGTATCAACTATGTGTATATCAAAGGACAGAATGCATCTGAAGCAAGTATGCATTGATATAGTATCCAACTCCAATTTATGATATGCACATAATCTGGAGTTGCATGTGTACTGACATTCATGTTACTGTGAGAGATTTTGCAATGTATCAACCCGGGGAATATAATAAAAGTTGCACGATAATGATAAAAAAGGATCTCCATGTCAAGTCAAGATTACAAAATTTGAAGTCCTAACGCCAAATACATGCTGCCTACATTGTTCTTCTTTGATGCCAGTACTTTTAACCTGCAGGTGAATCCCCTCCCAGAGTCATGTTGTATCATCAATTCAGAATTAGTTTTTTACCTTCTATGTTCCCTCTCAAAATATTTAGCTTCATATTGGAGAAATATTAATTCCATATGCCAAGACCATCATAGCAACACATATATTTCTAACTCCACAGATTAAAAATAGGAATGTACACTAAAATATATCATTAATTGTGATAGCAGCCAATATGAGGCTTTGTTCCATGAACATGCATTGGGAAACTGAATCCACATTCTGCATCACTTGTGTACATTTCCTAGAAGTAATGTTTGTTCAGATTTATATTAATAGAATGACTTGACCAAACTGACGTTATTAATGGGAAAATCCTATTGCCCATCGTGAAATTAAATGAATTATTGTATGGGCAGAGAAAAAAGAGAGATTAGTAGGAAACCCCGAAAGGAAAAAAAGATTGAGGTGGAATGTATGTTTCATCATAGGAAATTAGAAAGAAAAAAGATGAGATGAAATGAGATGTTTGTCTTTATGAAGAAGAGCCTAGCATGCAAAAACTGAAAGTAGCTATTGCTTACATCGATGAGTTTACTGGGCGCTCTAAGTGCACTATGCTGACTCCATGTGTTTGTAGGTAATGAAACCGTATCCACGAGATTTTCCTGTGGCTTTGTCATAGATGACAGCCCCCTCTTCTATTTCTCCATGCATTCGAAAGGCCTAGACCAAAAAATTAGGTGCAATCCATTCAGTTCAAATGGCCCCAAGTTCAGGTCGTAAAAGTTCAGAAATATAATAAACGAAAATTATTGCAGAACTCTATATAATGTGGGACAATCACCCCGATATCACAGAAAACACAAACAGCAATCAGCAATGCACTCACATCACACAAGGTTTCTGAAGTGGTATTCCAGGCTAAGCCACGAACAAAAAGCTTTCGATGTACAGGATCTGAACTGGCAATACTTTTAATTTCTTCAGCAATTGAAGGATATTGGGACCCTCTTTATGCGTCAACATGCAAATAAGCACACATCCACAAAGTCAATCACACAACATACAATTTCAAGCAGCAGCCATAGCACCAATTCATTTAACACAAGCATCACACTCTTACACAATGAACTAATAGAGAGAACATTCTGAGCCACAATTAACCTTTAACACTGTAAATACGAACACACTCGTTTAATATGATGGAAATAAAGGTAGCTGATCCAGTGTAAAAAAATAAGAAATCTTTTCCTGACGTGATTGATGATATAAACAAGGCCTTGTTGTTTACGGTAACTAGCTATTAAATGCATCAGAGAATAAAGGGCTGAATATTGTTACAATATGTAACTCTCTCTCATTTCAAATTCTTTTCTTGTCTTCTCTATTCTTCTTTCCTATTTCCCTTTTATCTTCTCTGTTGTTGTAATTCTCTTGTTTTTCAATGAAAATACAGCTTTAGTATTTCAATTCATATAAGTGAGTTCTTGAGTTCATAACGATCCATATCTTCTTACTAAAAGCATCTAAAATAGGAACCAAATCAAAGGAAAAGAATACCAAACAAGGCTCTTGATTATACAAGCCGATACAGAAACATCCTAGAATTAGTGTCAAATTGAAGTATGAAAAAGGTCATGGCAAGGAAGATGCAAAGGCAGATGTTAAAAGCACACAGAAAATGTCTTAATATGCGAATTTAGCTAAAAATAACAAGCATTCTAGTTACCCTGAATTGATCAAAACCAAATTTGAACATTTCAAACTTTTACAATGCCAATAGCAATAGTAAGAACTTAGGAATAACTACAATGTTACACTGTTTTATTGGTAGAAGGAGAAGTTCAAGTTTAAAACAACTGAATTTTTAAACCTAACCTAAAAGACTTCCAGAAGCATTTAAAAGGAAAACCCCTTTTTTATATATAAAAAAAAACTTATAAATAACCCCAAAAGAAACAAAACCGGCGAAGCAGCTTTGAAGAATTGTTCTTCATGTTTCCAAAGAAAAAAGACTTCGGCACCCGTTTCAGCTTTACTTGATGGACTTTTATAACTTCAAACAAACTTAAACAATCACTGAATTGCAACTAATCCACCAAAACCAAAGCAACTCTAGAGGAAACCCCTTAAAAATTACCCAAAATACACAAGGAAAGAAAACCCAGAAATTCTCATTCAGTATTATTCAAGTTATGTAGGGGTTTTTGGGAAGAAAACAAAAGAAATAGAGATAATAAGGGGAATAAAGAGGTGAACATACAATCTAGAAAGAAGATCGACGAGCTGGGATTTAGCAAGAGGGTCAAGCAAAGACCGTAAGTCGTCTTGAGTTGATAACTGACCGTTGTTTCCCATGTCTTCAATCTTCTCTTCTTCAAATCCTCCATTATTCTGCTTTGTTTCCGTGCAAAATTGGGGTCTTTGTTGACAGGGATTTTAGGTTAAAGTATTGGTATTCTGTTATTTTGGGTAATATTTTCATTTTTAATTAAATCCCCACAGTATTGTCACGGACTTATCTAGAGGTGTCATTTGGTTAATTCGGGCATCAATAAACGAATAACTATTAATCAAGTAATCAATTTTTTAAAAAAATATCCAATCAAACTAGTTCAATTAATTTAATCGGTTAATTAAATTAACTAAATTTATAAATAATTATTAATATATTAAATATTAATAATTTCGATTAATTCAACTATTAACTATAATCGAGGTTTAAAAAATCATTAATCACTAACCGTCTATTAACCGATTTTTTTCTCAATTTGATCGGATATTAATTATGAACACCCCTAGACTTATCTAATTAAGCGTGGGGCAATTTGTATTATTTTGTAGTTTTAATATTAAGTGCCTTTGTTTTATTGTTGATTTTGTGGAAACATTTTTTTATATTTAGTATATGATTGATAAAAGATAAATTAATTATAGAATTTATTTTCTCGTCAATGATTTTTTTTTTATATAAAAAAATTACTTACTACTAAGTCATTTTGAATTTTTGCATTAAATTATAAATATTTAAAATAATATTATTTTATTAATATTAATATTATTTTCATATTAAATTAATAAAATACTAAAATATTAATATATTATAATATATTATTAAAATATTAATATTGTTATATTATATTTATTAATATTATGAATATATTCATTATATTATAAATATGATATTATATTTTATTTTAATATATATAATAAATTATTAAAAATTAATATTATTTATCAATTTTGTAAAAAATAATATTATTGTATTACTAAGATTTAAAAAATTTATTAATAATTTTTAAAACATATACATTTTTATTTAATATAATATTTTAATATAATAATAATAATAATATTCTAATTTTAGTAATCAATTTATACAATTAAAGTATTTATTATTTTAATAATACAATGTTTTTATATTAATAAATAATTAATATAATTTATAATCTTTATTATTTTAATAAAGTATAATAGTCTTAATATTTTTATTTATAAAATATGAAAATAATATTTTAATAATATTGAAATAAATAATATTGAATAAATTATTTTAATATTTTAAAAATAATAATATAATTTTTATATAATAAAATATTATTGTTATTGAATGTTTATTAATTTCTATAAAATTTACCACCTGTTGAGAAGTGATTTATATTATTAACTGGGCCACCAACTCGATATCGTTTAAGTTTTTTGGATAGCAGATTTGGAAATTGTCACTGTAATATGTTTTCGCCATTATACTCAAATTGTAACTTTCATTCTTTTATTATTCTTTTATCTATGCACGAATATTAATTTTAGTGGTTAAAGAAATAGATATCTCGAGTTCGAGCATCAACGATTGTAGAACATTTAAACATTCATTATTAAATTGTTGTGAATTTTTAGAACAGATACTACTACATGTAATAACCCTAGATTAATAAAAAAAAATATTCTTTCATTTATTTGATTTCACTATTTTCATTTTATTATCACTGTTTTATTACAAGATATAAATACAAGAGTGGGCATTTTTGTTTTAGCCCAAGCATCATTTCAATTTGCTTTGCTTGTTCGCCCAGTGATGTATATTTTGCTGAATCTGCACAGTTTTAATTAACAAATAAAAAATTAATTGCAATATGTAACACCCAATTTAGGGGCTAAAAATTAAGAAATTATAAAGTGGTGGATTTAATTGGTATTTTGAAATAAATGGTGGATTAAATTGTAAAATTTCAAAGTTAGTAGACCGTTTTATAAAGTGTAGGAAATGCAGTGGCTAAACTCATAGTTTAACCATTGTTCTTTATGAGAAAATATAAACCCTTCCCTGCGCGCAGGTTGTGCATATTTTCCCGTTTTTCCTTCTCCAACAACCCTCCTTTCAACTCCGATCTACTCGTCGTCTGACCTCCGATCGATGAACCGAAACCATCATCGTGTTCGTTGTCGACCGAGGAACAAACCTCTCAAACCTTTCGTCGTGATCGAACCGTCGTCATTAATTTCAGTCGGAAGTTCATCGGTAATAACTCGATTTTAGTTTTTTTTCGAAGATTCGACGATCCGACAATCCGTTTTTGAACCTCCCGCACCATCGTGTTCCTTGCACGTTCTGAGTCCACCGTGTTCCATTTCTCCGTCGTCGCCGGCCCGTGGAGGAGTGAGACTGTCAAAGTTTCCAACGTTTCAGAATCGAGCTCTCCGCAGTTCAAAATTGTAAATCGAGCTTTGTAAGTGTCTCAAAATCGCTTAAAATAATTTTTATTATTTTTTTTGGGAATTTTCCGACACTGTGTTACTGTTCACGCACCGCACGCTCCACCCCCAAGAGTGGGCATCGTCTGGGTGTTAATTTTGTAATTAATTTCTGTTTGGGTGCTATTTGTGTAAACTTAGGGTGTTAGTTTCGTAATATTTACAGAAGTGGCTAATTTTGTAATCAATTTATGTTAGGTGATATTTGTGTAAATGGTCGACTGTTGACGGGTGTTGATAACAGTTGACCAGAACTTTGACCGGCCGGCATTAAACGACCTTTGACTTTGACGAGTATACCTATCCGATGTTTTCGAACTCCGAGTCCGATTTCGCATTCTATTTTTCGAAATTCGAACCCGAAGGCCTCAAAATTGCCACTCAAACCCGTTGACTTTGTCTTTGACCGAAAATTCAAAATTTTCGAAAAGTCATATTTTATGTTTTCGACGTCCTGATCCGAATCCTAAGTTCGTTCGCCAAATTGAACCGTAAGCTATTTTCACTGATTTATCATCCATTCGATCCATTTTTCAGAATTAAGCTTCGTTTTTTATGTAATTTCTGTTGATATGGATCCGAGGAATATTGGAAGATGATTTCAAGATCGAGGGCGTTCGAATGGAATTTAATGGTCGATCAATATTGCACGAAATCAAGGTAATACTTTACTCTTTATGCTTTATGGACATGTGAATTGGTAAATGCATGAATAAGATAATGTTGGTCTCATTTGGGTAGTTATGAATTTCTACACTCGATTCGATATAATAGAAATTTGGTAACTGATTATGGTCAGAGAACTTTTATAAGAAATTGAGGGATTGTTAGAATTAAATTTCAAGTTTTGTGTTTGGTAATAAAGAAATCACCTGGATCTATATCTTATAATTTATTTCATCAAAGGCATGTAAAGGCACTGGATGGAAATTATGAGAATACTATGGTAGGTAAAATTATGAAAATACCCTATATTGTAAAAGATAAGATTTTTCCATGGAAGTGGGATAAGAGGTTTTAAAGACATATTGATCTTATGAACTGATGTGCATAAGAAATGTTAGTTTTACTTGGAAATTTTGGATAATCGATTTAAATCCAAGAGGGTTTGTGCAAGATACTAGAAGTCTGTTAAGGAAATCATTTCAAGATCAAAGAATGTTCAAGAAAGAAATTAACCATATCTCTATATAATATTTTCGCTAAGAGTTAATACCGAAGTTAATGGTTAAGAAATTACGAAAATGCCCTTGAGAGGTAAAATAGTCCGAGTTGACCCTGAATTAGAAAATACTTTGAGGATTCGTACTTAACTAGATTAAGTACGGATTTGATGTTAAGATCCTGACTTAGTGCAGAAAAATTCCTGATTTGTTTGTAAATATGAGAAGGACTTGACCTAGAAATATAGAGTTATGAGTAAATACCCGAAGAACAATTTATCGGGGGTGTTCTGTTGTCAGAATTGTTCGAAATGACTGAAATAAGTGATAAGATTGAATTTAATAGTAAGATCGGACGGAAGGAAAGGATTGAAATACATTGAATCTATAAAATGACCAAAATACCCCTGTAATGAAAATGACCCAAGAACCACCAAGCTCAGGAATGATTGATATCTTCGAGCTCTGAAATGAATGGAATAAAACTGAACACCAAAATTACCAAAATACCCTTATGGTCTATAATAAGTAAATGCCTTGGATTAATTAAGGAATCCAAATAAGCATAGGTATTAGACTACCTTTAAAAGTTATGGAACACATCTTAAGTGAGCCGATCAACCTTAATGATATGTCAGTACCCGAACGACATAGATATTACTTGAATGCGTGTTCGTCTACTCAAGTTTAGCTCAATGATAATTTTGTAAGTATTCAGCTCATCTCAACTCTAGATTGCATTCGATATAAGAATTGGATATTTGTTCGACAATCAACCACGAAGACCAACTGAACTGAACGGAAGTACAATATGTATCCGAAATTCAGAACGTCCGGAATTACTATAGAAAATTCGGAAGTACTAAAAAGACTTGACTGCTAAATGACTAGGTAACCTCAAGGACTGAGGATTAGTAAGAGTTGAATAAGCTTGAAAACTCGATGAACTTACGTGATGTATCCCTATGGATTATGAACCAAATCAGTACGTCGGCATTTCCTGATACAGTTGAAACATGGAAATGAAATAAAGACCATTAGAATATATGTTCATCTCCTTAAGATCTGTTCAGTGATGACTCAGAAGATGATCTATGGGTAAGAATATTTGGTATTAAAGAGTAAATACCCTGGAAGGTTATTGAATTGACAAGTTGACAAGTATTAGTTATGGGAGCTATTCATCTGGAGTTGTTCGATAATCCGAGTAATCGACGTAGATTGTAAAGGTCTTATACCTTCATTTCTTTTATCAGCTCAAGTCTCATTCTAAATAACTGATGATTCCAGTTATTGATCTCTTCCATAGTGATTCTAAATTCTGACATTCTATCGACATACTGAAGATCTGTGTATCTTTTGTTAAGATTCCGTCTTTGAATAATATCTGTAAACTCTGGTGTGTTCCCTAATCACATTAATATTTTATCTGATTTCTGATTTGAATTATGTTATGATACCTGACATGGATTCT